TTATGCATACATATATTCCTTAATAACTCATCAGACACAAACACCAACCAGATTACGATCTCGCACACAAATGTACCAGAACAAACACACCACAAACAAATAAACAAAAAGTAAAACAGAAAATAAGAACGCTGTCGTGAATAATGAGACGTCATGCATATAAAACCCGCGACCGCTACGCATGAACATCAGCATATGAGGGACCCGGATTATAAAAAAACAAAAAGCTAATCCGCGACTGTAATGAGAATGAGGATAACAGGTAGATGATAGACTGTCGTAGAAAAAAAATGAAGAAGGAGGAGAAGGAGGAGAAGGAGGGGGAGGAGAAGAAGGAGAAGGAGGAGGAGAAGGAGGAGGAGAAGAAGGAGGAGAGAGAGGGAGGAGGAGGAGGAGAGGAGGGGGAGGAGGAGGAGGAGGAGAAGGAGGAGAAGAAGAAGAAGGAGAAGAAGAAAGAGAAGAAGAAGAAAGAAGGGGAAGAATAAGAAGAAAATAATAATCCGATTACATGCAAAGTTTTTATAAAGAAATCTTAAGAAATCTTGTGTCTTACTGGAAAGGGATGTGACTGGGTATAACTTTGCACGAATGACGGAATAAGGAGAGAAGGAGATTGAAAAATATGCTGGAAAGAAGGAAGGAAAGGAGGAGGAATAAGACACAGCGTAAGATAAAAGGAAGAAAGGGAAATGGTGGAAAGAAAGAAGAAATTAGACATTAGGAATCAGAAACGAAGGAAGGGAAGGTGGAGAAATAAGATAGCGTAGGATAGCTTGAATAAAGGAAGGAATGAGAAAAATGAATGGAGAGAATATGGAGAAATTGGATAGAATAGGATAGGTTGAATAAAAGAAGGAATGAGAGAAACGTATGAAGGGAATATGGAGAAACTGGATAGCGTAGGATAGCTTAAATAAAGGAAGGAATGAGAGAAACGAAGGAGGGGAAAGATGGAGAAACTCGACGCGGGGAAAAAATCGGTTGATAAAAGGAAGGAATGAGGGAAATGAAGGGAGGGAAGAAGGAGACATTACACAGCATAAAATAACCTTGAAAACAGAAAATAAATGAAGGAGAAATGAAAAAAGAAAAGGAGAAATTCGACAAAGCATAAGATCGCTTAAGGAACGAAAGAAATGAGAGGAATGATAGAAGTGTAAAGAAAGAAAACCGACACAGCGTAAGATCAATTGAAATGATAGAAATGAAAAGAGAGAAATAATAGACAAAGGAGAAATTAGATAGCCTTAAAAAGAAAGGAGAAATGATGGAATGAAAAGAAAAAAAGACACAGCGAAATAAATAAAGGAAATAATAGAATGAAAAAATCGACACTCATAACGGAAGATCGAAAGAAAGAAGAAAAGAATAAAGAAGAAAAGGATGAAAAATCAATAAAAGGGACAAAAAAGAGGTTAGACGCTAATTCGTCTGATCGAATGAATAAAAAAAAAAAGTAAGAAAAGAAAAAAGACGAAAGAAAATAGAAACTGAGAGAAAACAAAAGACGAAAAGAAAAATAGAAAAAGGGAAGAGAGAACAACAACAAAATTCTGATGAAGATTTAATGGAAACAAATAAAATCCATTTCTTCCGCTGTGAAGACATTCATCCCTATTCTCCTACACTTGTCTCGAAAAACAGTTATAAGATCAAACATAATGATATGACAATGAATAATAAAACAAAATAAAAGGAGAGAAAGAAAAGGAGTAAAACATAAAGAAGACAGAAGATAAAAAATGATCCAATATCATAAAATGATCCGATATTATATTTATTGAAATCAACATAAGAGAGATATGGGAACCTATTGTTAATAGAAATAGTGGTAGTTACAGATATAGTAATAGCAATACGTGTGTGTTAATACTAGTAGTTTAGCACTGACATTGTTACGGAAAATAACGGTAATCACAGCAGCAAGCTTAATAGTAGGAACAGTTATAGTGAAAGTAATATCAGTTATTATAGCAGTAAAACTAGTAACAGTCATAGTAAAAAGAGCAGTAAAATAAAAGATTTAGCAGCAAAAATATATATTATGGTACAAGAAACATTAGTTGTAGTAATAGTCATAGCAATGGCATCTTTACTGGTCAGTTAGTTTCATTAACAATATAGCTGATGTTAGCAATAGTAATACTACTAGTATAAGTCTAGGCTTTCGACATCTTTTTCTTCACTTTGCAGGCGTATGTGAGAAAACCAAATAACTGATGAATTGTGTACATATGTAGACGAAGCTCCTATAGACACTGCATAAAAAGCTGAAATCATAATCCTTGTTATCTTCATCATTCTCATCATAATCATCATTACTACTATTCCTATCATCACCATCAGTTAATTATTGCACAGGAAGAACCCTTGTTATCTTCATCATTATCATCCTCATCATAATCATCATCATTAATACTATTCCTATCATCATCATCAGTTAATTATTGCACAGGAAGACCCCTTGTTATCTTCATCATTATCATCATCATAATCACCGTCATTAAGGCCATTCCTATCATTAATGCCATATCATCATCACACAGGATCTTCATCATCATCATCATAATCAATTAATTCCTATCATCACCATCGATTAATTATTACACAGGAAGACCCCTTGTTATCTTCATCATCATCCACATCATAATCATCATTACTGCCATTCCTATCATCACCATCGATTAATTATTACACAGGAAGACCCCTTGTTATCTTTATCATCATCATCATCCTCATCATAATCACCATCACTACTGCTATGCCCATCATCATCATCATCATCATTACTTAATATCATTATACAAGAAGACCCCCCCCCCCCCTATGGCTAGAGCTAAGCGGATGTTGCAACGACTCATTACTTTGCAACGATTTCGAAAAAAAAAAAAAAAAAAAACCGCTTTACATAATGATACCCACTTGCAACATGGCAGAGGAATATGCACACAAAGCCCTCGATGCAGCGATGCAATAAAGGGGATTGTCTGGAGTCGCATTATTTTGACTGACAATGAAGTTCTAAGGTTGACGTTCGCTTGCAACTCTTTTTGGCTGATGTCTGTCAACGATCAATTTGGGTTGAGTTCTTGTAGATGGCGAATCTTGGTTTGGTATGAGTCAGTGTTCTTGTAGATGGCGAATCTTGGTTTGGTATGAGACAGTGTTCTTGTAGATGGCGAATCTTGGTTTGGTTTGAGTCAGTGTTCTTGTAGATGGCGAATCTTGGTTTGGTTTGAAGTGTTCTTGTAGATGTCTTGGTCTGTTCTTGTAGATGGCGAATCTTGGTTTTGGTTTGAGTCAGAGAGGCGAATCTTGGTTTGGTTTGAGTCAGTGTTCTTGTAGATGGCGAATCTTGGTTTGGTTTGTCAGTGTTTCAGATGGCGAATCTTGGTTTCAGTGTTGTAGATGGCGAATCTTGGTTTGGTATGAGTCAGTGTTCTTGTAGATGGCGAATCTTGGTTTGGTTTGAGTCAGTGTAGATTCTTGGTTTCAGTTGTTCTTGTAGATGGCGAATCTTGGTTTGGTTTGAGTCAGTGTTCTTGTAGATGGCGAATCTTGGTTTGGTATGAGTCAGTGTTCTTGTAGATGGCGAATCTTGGTTTGGTTTGAGTCAGTGTTCTTGTAGATGGCGAATCTTGGTTTGGTTTGAGTCAGTGTTCTTGTAGATGGCGAATCTTGGTTTGGTATGAGTCAGTGTTCTTGTAGATGGCGAATCTTGGTTTGGTATGAGTCAGTGTTCTTGTAGATGGCGAATCTTGGTTTGGTTTGAGTCAGTGTGACAGATGTCGGGAAGTTTCAGGACAGGAATTTCGGTTCATTTCAGTAAACAATGAATATTAGTGAACCTGATTACACGATGCATTTCAGTTAAATAAATCATATCTGTATCTATCTAATCCGGCATGTATCTATCTAATTGTCTATCTACCTATCTATCTGTCTATCTATCTGTCTATCAATCTATTTGTCTATCTATATATCTACCTATCTATCCATCTATCTATCTATCCATCTATCTACCTCTCTATTTATTTATCTATTTATCTATCTATCTATCTATATACATATTTATTTATCTATCTATATATTTCTCTATCTATCTACCTATCTATATTACTCCACATACACTGACAAACAATTTTCTCAAAATCCTCTTCACATTCCTGAAGCCACATTCAGTCAACAAGCGAAATGCAAATATGGCATTAACATATTGCAGAAATCTTAAGCAAAAAATCCCGACCGGAAAATCTCTTTATAAATCTGAAATCTGAACATTTTTAGTTCTGTTTTAAAATATTTCCAAAAATTCCAAAAATGATGTAAGCTTGCTATAAAATTAATTAAATCCTATTACTGATACAAAAGCATAATGGCGTGTGCTTCATCAATAAAATTCTAATTGATCTTTATTAACTATGTTGATTCTGTCGTAACATTCATCATAAACAAAATGAATAGTGATAATAAATTAATTAAGAGTTGCAATAATAATGCTAGTCAGCTGTGGTTGGTTAATTCGAATATTATTACTAGTGATGATCATTACTACTACTGCTACTAACAACATTGGCGATGGTGATGATGTGATGGTGGTGGTGATGGTGGTAGTGGTGGTGATGGTGGCGGTGATGATGGAAGTGGTGTTGGCGATAGAAATGGTGGTGGTGGTGATGATGGAAGTGGTGTTGGCGATAGAAATGGTGGTGGTGGTGATGATGGAAGTGGTGTTGGCGATAGAAATGGTGGTGGTGGTGATGATGGAAGTGGTGTTGGCGATAGAAATGGTGTGGTGGTGATGATGGAAGTGGTGTTGGCGATAGAAATGCGATAGAAATTGGTGGTGTGGTGATGATGGAAGTGGTGTTGGCGATAGAAATGGTGGTGGTGGTGATGATGGAAGTGGTGTTGGCGATAGAAATGGTGGTGATGATGGAAGTGGTGTTGGCGATAGAAATGTGGTGGTGGTGATGATGGAAGTGGTGTTGGCGATAGAAATGGTGGTGGTGGTGATGATGGAAGTGGTGTTGGCGATAGAAATGGTGGTGGTGGTGATGATGGAAGTGGTGTTTGGCGATAGAAATGGTGGTGGTGGTGATGATGGAAGTGGTGTTGGCGATAGAAATGGTGGTGGTGGTGATGATGGAAGTGGTGTTGGCGATAGAAATGGTGGTGGTGGTGATGATGGAAGTGGTGTTGGCGATAGAAATGGTGGTGGTGGTGATGATGGAAGTGGTGTTGGCGATAGAATGGTGGTGGTGGTGATGATGGAAGTGGTGTTGGCGATAGAAATGGTGGTGGTGATGATGGAAGTGGTGTTGGCGATGAAATGTGGTGGTGGTGATGATGGAAGTGGTGTTGGCGATAGAAATGGTGGTGGTGGTGATGGAAGTGGATAGTGGTGTTGGCGATAGAATGGTGGTGGTGATGATGGAAGTGGTGTTGGCGATAGAAATGGTGGTGTGTGATGATGGAAGTGGTGGGCGCGATAGAATGGTGGTGGTGATGATGGAAGTGGTGTTGGTGGTGGTGGTGATGATGTGGTGTTGGCGATAGAAATGGTGGTGGTGGTGTGATGATGGAAGTGGTGTTGGCGATAGAAATGGTGGTGGTGGTGATGGAAGTGGTGTTGGCGATAGAAATGGTGGTGGTGGTGATGATGGAAGTGGTGTTGGCGATAGAAATGGGTGGTGGTGGCGATAGATGGATGTGGTGTTGGCGATATGGTGGTGGTGGTGATGATGGTGGCGGTGGTGGTGGTGATGATGGAAGTGGTGTTGGCGATAGAAATGGTGGTGGTGAGGATGATGAGGATAAGAAGAAAGAGGTGGGGGAGGAGTGATAAAAGGGGAAGAGCAAGAAACAAATAAATAACGAGAACGAGAAAGTGAAAAGGAAAATGATGACAACTCCATCAAAACAAAAACAAAAAAGTCCAAAAAATGAAATGCTTTCAAACTGATCATTTCCGAAACTATAAAAAATAACTATTATCTCTAAAACTTTCCATATTTCTTGGCACTATTTTTCTTATTTTCTTTCAAAAGATTCCTCACCACCACGATAAAAAAAACAGAAATATCGCAGTATGCCCGCCCATTTTTATATTATTATTATTATTATTATTTTTTGTCAAAAACAGAAAACGGGACATTTTTTCCACCCTTTTCTTTTCTATTCTTTAATTTGCCAGCTTCTTTGATGTCGAGATTTGGTTCCTATGGTCTTCTGTTTTCGCTTTGGTCGCTCAACAAAATGTTTTTTTTTTTTTTCCTCGTTGCTTTAATAAGACAATAAGGACACATTCAATGGAGCTCGAGTAGGCGGGAGATCTGAGCAACATCGCCAGGGAATCGAACACGGGGAAGATCAAGAACATCGCCAGGGAATCGAACACGGGGAAGATCAAGAACATCGCCAGGGAATCGGACACGGGGAAGATCAGAACATAGGGAATCGGACACGGGGAAGATCATCGCCAGGGAATCGAACACGGGGAAGATCTAGAACATCAGGGATTCGGACACGGGGAAGATCATCGCCAGGGAAATCGGGGAAGATCAAGCCGCAGGAAATCGACACGGGGAAGATCAAGAACATCGCCAGGGAATCGGACACGGGGAAGATCAAGAACATCGCCAGGGAATCGAACACGGGGAAGATCAAGAACATCGCCAGGGAATCGAACACGGGGAAGGAACATCGCCAGGGATTCGGACACGGGGAAGATCAAGAACATCGCCAGGGAATCGAACACGGGGAAGATCAAGAACATCGCCAGGGAATCGGACACGGGGAAGATCAAGAACATCGCCAGGGAATCGATCGACATCGCCAAGGGAATCGACACGGGGAAGATCAAGAACATCGCCAGGAATCGACACGGGGAAGATCAAGAACATCGCCAGGGAATCGAACACGGGGAAGATCAAGAACATCGCCAGGGAATCGAACACGGGAAAGATCAAGAACATCGCCAGGGAAGAACACAAAGATCAAGAACATCGCCAGGGAATCGAACACGGGAAGATCAAGAACATCGCCGGGGAAATCGCGAACACGGGAAGATCAAGAACATCGCCAGGGAATCGAACACGGGGAAGATCAAGAACATCGCCAGGGAATCGAACACGGGGAAGATCAAGAACATCGCCAGGGAATTCGAAACACGGGGAAGATCGAGAACATCGCCAGGAAATCGGACACGGGGAAGATCGAGAACAACATCGCTAGGGATTCGGACACGGGGAAGATCAAGAACAACATCGCCAGGGAATCGGACACGGGGAAGATCAAGAACATCGCCAGGGAATCGAACACGGGGAAGATCAAGAACATCGCCAGGGAAATCGAACACGGGAAGATCAAGAACATCGCCAGGGAGGCACGGGGAAGATCAAGAACATCGCCAGGGAATCGAACACGGGGAAGATCGAGAACATCGCCAGGGAATCGAACACGGGAAAGATCAAGAACATCGCCAGGGAATCGAACACGGGAAAGATCAAGAACATCGCCAGGGATTCGGACACGGGGAAGATCGAGAACAACATCGCCAGGGATTCGGACACGGGGAAGATCAAGAACAACATCGCCAGGGAATCGGACACGGGGAAGATCAAGAACATCGCCAGGGAATCGAACACGGGGAAAAAAGATCGAGAACAACATCGCCAGGGATTCGGACACGGGGAAGATCGAGAACATCGCCAGGGATTCGGACACGGGGAAGATAGATCGCCAGGGAATCGAACACGGGGAAGATCAGAACATCGCCAGGGAATCGAACACGGGGAAGATCGAGACAAAAATCGCCAACATCGCCAGGGGATTCGGACACGGGAAGATCGAAGAACAACATCGCCAGGGATTCGACACGGGGAAGATCAAGAACATCGCCAGGGATTCGGACACGGGGAAGATCAAGAACAACATCGCCAGGGATTCGACACGGGGAAGATCGGAAGAACCATCGCCAGGGAATCGGACACGGGGAAGATCAAAAACATCGCCAGGGAATCGAACACGGGGAAGATCAAGAACAACATCGCCAGGGAATCGAACACGGGGAAGATCGAGAACATCGCCAGGGAATCGGACACGGGGAAGATCGAGAACAACATCGCCAGGGATTCGGACACGGGGAAGATCGAGAACAACATCGCCAGGGAATCGAACACGGGGAAGACCAAGAACATCGCCAGGGAATCGGACACGGGGAAGATCAAGAACATCGCCAGGGAATCGAACACGGGAGATCAAAGAAATCGCCAGGGAATCGAACACGGGGAAGATCAAGAACATCGCCAGGAAATCGAACACGGGGAAGATCAAGAACATCGCCAGGGAATCGAACACGGGGAAGATCAAGAACATCGCCAGGAAATCGAACACGGGGAAGATCTAGAACATCGCCAGGGATTCGGACACGGGGAAGATCAAGAACATCGCCAGGGAATCGAACACGGGGAAGATCAAGAACATCGCCAGGGAATCGAGAGGAAGATCAAGAACATCGCCCAGGGAATCGAACACGGGGAAGAAAACAACATCGCCAGGAGAATCGAACACGGGAAGATCGAGAACAACATCGCCAGGAATTCGAACACGGGGAAGATCAAGCATCGCCAGGGAATCGACACGGGGAAGATCAAGAACATCGCCAGGGAATCGAACACGGGAAAGATCAAGAACATCGCCAGGGAATCGAACACGGAAGAAGAATCAAGGGGGGAAGATCAAGAACATCGCCAGGGAATCGAAACACGGGGAAGATCAGAACATTCGCCAGGGAAATCGAACACGGGGAAGATCAAGAACATCGCCAGGGAATCGAACACGGGGGAACATCAAGAACATCCCAGGGGAATCGACACGGGGAAGATCAAGAACATCGCCAGGGAATCGAAACGGGGAAGATCGAAACATCGCCAGGGAATCGAACAAGGGGAAGATCAAGAACATCGCCAGGGAATCGAACACGGGGAAGACAAGAACATCGCCAGGGAATCGAACACGGGGAAGATCAAGAACATCGCCAGGGAATCGAACACGGGGAAGATCAAGAACATCGCCAGGGAATCGAACACGGGGAAGATCAAGAACATCGCCAGGAAATCGAACACGGGGAAGATCAGAGGGAATCGAACACGGGAAAGATCGAAAACAAAATACACATGTAAGCACTCAACAACACGCACATAAACACGCATACACGCCATATAAGCACACAAAACACGCATACACGCACACAAACACGCATACATACACATAGACACTCTGTCGGATTCTGCCTCTGTCTTTCTAGATCTGTGTGTTTGTCTGTTTGTCTCTCCTCTTCTGCTCTCTCTCTCTCCTTACCTTTCTCTCTTCTCTCCCCCCCTCTCTCTTTCCTTGCCTCTCTCTCTTCTTCCCCCCCCTTTCTCTCTTCTCTTCTCTTCTCTCTCTCTCTCTCTTTCGCACAAGCACTTAGAAATGGGCACAACACACGAGGAAAGAAATAAAATCAGAATTACATTTCTCCCTTCTCTCTGTCTCCCCTCTTTCTCCCCTCGCCTTTATTTTCTACCTTACGAATTCTTTGGACATCCATTGTGTATTAGAATGAGGAAGAAACAGAAAAGGGAGGCATTCTATCTGTCTCTCTCGTCACAGCTGGTGCCTTTGCATTGGGATACGCACACGCACGCAGCACAAACCACACAACACACACACGCACACACACACACAACACACAAACACACACACACTCACACACACACACACACGCACACACACACACACACACACACGCGCACACACACACGCACACGCACACACACACGCGTACACACACGCACACGCAAACACGCACACGTTACACATACACACACACACGCACACACATACAAACACACATACACACACACACACACACACACACACACACACGCACACACACACACGCACACACATACAAACACACACACTCACACACGCACACACATACAAACACACACACACACACACATACAAACACACACACGCACACACTTTCTGTGGGTATATATATGTTTATCTTGATATCTTTCTGCCTGTCTGTCTGTATGTCTGTTTCTCTGTCTGTCTGTCTCTTTGTCTCTCTCTCTCTCTCGCTCATTCAAGCCATACCTCCCTTCCCTTCTTCTCCCCTTCCCCCTAACTCATTCGCCCTCACCCTCCCTCAATCCCCTTCTCCCTCCCCCCTTCTCCTTCTTCTCCTTCTCACACCTGCAGAGACTCCTCAAAACAAGTTCAAACACGCATAGTAAGCAACGAGAAACCTCTTTTAAGATCTCAAAGTTTCTATCTTTTGTAACAAACGCTTCTCTCGGAGCGTGTGTACGTGTGTGTGTGCGTGTGTGTGTGTACGTGTGTGTGT